CAATCATTTAAATTTAAATGATTACAATCGATTGTAATCGATATAAATCGATTGCAATCATTTAAATTTAAATGATTTCAATCAATTGTAATCGATATAAATCGATTGCAATTAACCCTGCAGCTAGTAATCGATATACATCTTATTTTAAAATTTCCTGATGATCATATATAAAAAAATTTATACTATCAGTTATTTTAATTTGGAATCTTACATATCATACCACAAACTGTACCACTTTTCTTATAGAGAAGTACAACCGAAATTTCTGGTAGATATAATTTTATCAGTTGAGATAAGTAAGGTAGAAATCTTTAGTAAGATCACTAATTGTTCCAGTTCTGGATCCCAGATTAAAGACTCAAGCTGCGATATAATAAAGATGTTAAATAAAAGAATTGTATTAGTATAATATAAAAAGTCTTTAAGAACTGCAATATAAGCATATATAAGACTTATATATCTATAATATACTAACTACCTCTTAACTTAGTCTAAGCTTCAAAACTGTTAATCGACTAACTTGGCATCTTAAGTGTTACTGGAGTTTGTAAATTTTAGGGTAAGGAATGAAGCTTGGTAAAATTTTAGTTTGTATTTTTTTATTGCTTATGTACTAGTAAAAAATAAAAAATTCGAGGTCTCAAATAGCACTATTTGAATGCATTCGACATGCTATTTAATACACTATTCAAATTATTAAATGACTTCACAGACATTCATGTCTGCAATATCATGTAATAAGTTCAATGGTGTATTAAATTGCATTCAAATAGTGCTATTCGAGACATTGAATGTTTTATTATTTACCAGTAGTTATTATTAATTATAAAAGTATATTATATACCCTTTAATAATTGAAAGTTTTCCTGTTATCAATTCATAGTAATTTCCCATAATTTCCACTGTTTATATTTACATATATATTATTTTTGGGGGTATATTTAAAACCAATTTATTATTAACTAGTATACAATATCTATATTGAATATTGTAGATTTAAACTTTGATTGTGAACTTGGTTCACAATATCGTGTGATAATATTACTATGTAGATTGGTATAATTAGTTGGGGAACTTGTATCAATTAAATATGTAATACATGGGTAGTTTATTATAGTTTGTACCTTATCTTGTATAATAATTGCATTATTGATTTATAGTTTAATAAAATATAGATACAAATAGGAGTTTTTACTAAGCCAAATTGTTAGTTCACTTTCTTGTAACAATAAAAAGTATACTAAAATAATACAAATCCCAGTTATTTGAATAACTATATTCTGGTATTATCATATCGCTATACATGTATATATGTGTATATAAGCAATGTTGAATTAAAACAGAGGTTAAGTGTATTGTAACAAAAGGTCATTAGTATCTACAAACTGAATCTAAATCAACAGAATGAATTATCCTTCTGTTAATCAACATAACAATTATGTTTGTCTTTTAGGTTTGGAACTATATACTTACAAATTCTTTCTTATCCATCATATCACAATCTTGTGAATTGTAGACAATACTTTGATAATACTTTGACAATATCATATATATATTTATTTCCTATTCTACGCATTATTATAATATATTAAAATATATCTAAAATCTATATATTAAAAAAAAACTTTGCTTATAACACTTGCCTAATCGAATATTAAACCAACTATAACCCAATTTAACTAGAATATCTATAGTATTTCCTTATTTAACTAGAGGCAGAAAAATATTATCAACATGCTCTATATTTCTTTTTAAAAATAGTATATGATTTACTAAATTTGGACATAATCTTGTTCTGCGAGCAGAAATATAAGCATTAACATCAGAAAACAATCGTTCACTTGGAACTGATATTGCTGAGATACTAAGGTAATCATGAGCTAATGATGATAAAATAGGCAAAGCATCTTTATGATTATTTTACCAAACTAGTGGATCATCATTTTGTTTTGCCTCCAGAAGATACATATAGTAAGAAATTTTATCTTCGTTAGACTAAGTTGTTTCTTAAACAGGAGCCCACATATTATCAAATATATTATTAATATTTGTATCTTTATTTTGATTAATAGATCTATTTTGTGTTGTTGATAAAATATTGTCTTGGCTATATTTTAATTCTTGATATTTTTCTTTAAGTTTTTCTTGGATATTAATATGTTCTTCTTGATTAACAAATCGAAGACCTTTAAGGCGGGGATCTAATATTGTGGCTATAAGTGCTATTTCTTCTAGAATATCCCACTACTCATCAAGTAAAAGATAAATTGCAGCTTTAACTTTATCTAAAAGCTCTACTAAATTTATATTTACTTCATATTTATAATTATAATTAATATTTTTATGAATATACTTGCTATTTCATCTATAACTATTTATATATATATATATATATTTTTATACTTATAATTATAGCTATGGTTATAGCCTTGATTTTTATTCTAACAATTTTTATAATTGGCTTTTTTTAAAGAACTGTAAGTAGAAAAATTAGATTCTGAGTTTTCAGTATTAGTATCACTATCCAGTTCATTAGTTTCATTAGTTAGAGTTTCACCTAGAGGCCTGCAAATTTCTAATTTTAAGGCCCGGGCCCGGCCCGCAATTAGGGTTACAAATTTTTTGCCGGCCTAGGCCCACTTGCGGTTAAAAATTTTTTGTCAAGCCTGGCCCGTTTTGGCCCGACCCACAAATTTTTAATATAAATTTTTTTCAAAATTTCAGCCTGGCCCGGCCCGTGATTATAAAAATTTTTTTTAGACCCGCCCAGGCCCGCACACTGGGCTGGGCGGGCCGAGCTGGGCTTTGGGACCCAATGCAGGTCTCTAGTTTCACCTATCTCATTATTTTTATTCATATTTTCAGATAAAGCTAGTCCATATACCAAATCCATATAGTCTTCAATTGTATGATTATCAGTTGGTGCAAATTTTTTCTTTAACAAATGCATATAAGGATATATTAAACTAATAGTAGGATAGGTTGCACCTGAGATATGTCGAGTAACTAATTCACATGGTGCTAAAAGATTTATCATATCATTAATAAAACTAAAAAATAATAAATATATATTATTATTTGCTTATATAATACATAAATTAAATAATTTAACTAATATTAAATATATACTTATTTAAATTCTTTAGAACTAAGACATAATTTATTAAGGTATTCACCTTCTTTACGAATTTGAGCATTTAAAGATGAACAAAGAGTAGCAGTAAGACTTCTAATAGCATTATCTAATTTTAATATTCTTTTCCATGCAAGATATATACTATTCCAACGTGTCTTACAGTCAGATAAAATATCTAATAATTCCTATTGATCTATGTCATAATTATCATCTTGTTGCATGATTGTTTTTTGTGCTTCACGAAGTTGTTGAGCATGTTTTGGACTATGAAAAAAAGGTTTGTAAATTCTTAAGCCATTTGTGAATTATTTCAATTTGTTTAATTCCAGCCTGAACTGAAAGTTGAAGTGTATGTACAGCACATTAGGGTGTTCAAAATAATAGGTAAATCAAATTATAGTCGAGGTACATATGTGAGGGTTTTTTACCGGTTTTTTAAATAATTTCGGAAATTTTGGAAAATTAACTAACCTATTATTTTTTCTATTTATCGAACAACTCATTAACGTTGACATTAAACAGCTTAAACAGCAAAAAATTTAACTTTCACTTATTATTTTCTTTATTTATTGAACAAGTCCTTAAACAGTATATCAGCTTCTATTTCTCCAAATATTGCATGTTTTTCGTTAACTTG